ATATTAATAATATATATAATATATATTAATAATATATATATGTATATAATAATATATATTATTTATATTATATATATATATACATACATACATACATACACATTTTAAAATGTTTTTAGCTGACAGCTAATTTACTTACATTATTACATATTATTATAAAAGACAATACGCATGCAAAAAGAACACGTATTTCAGTTGCCAGTTAATATTTAATTGATATTTAATATATAAAGTGAAAATTCTGTCTTGTATTTAAATTATAAAATAACGGTCTTAAAAGGTAACACAAATCAATTCAGTATAAATTACCTATGTATAAATGCAAATTGACGTAATTCTATCATGCCGCGGGTGCGTAATTGACATCAAAGTTTTCCTAGCTAGACGTAATACACCATCAGATAACATATTTATTATGAAGACGGTGCTCCTTAAGACACGGCATAGAACAGAAGCGATTGCCGTTGTATTCGAAAGGCACCATGTCCGTCATATCGATGGCACATTGGAAGCACCGTGACACGACAGTGTATCCTTCGCTCAACATCCGATTTTGCGCAACTAATGCTCTCTATAAGGTAAACGAGAAGAATTAAAATATCAAAATTCAATTGGGAGATCAAGTGTTGGATTATAAAGAAAATTTTCTAGGTTTTTTTTCTTCTTAAAATAAAATTGAAAAAAAAACTAGAAAACTTTTCGAACAATCCAATCCATAACTATGACCATAATAGCGTTTTTTTCAATTAAAAAAAATAAAATTTAAGTCTTAGTAAAATTATTAAAATATACTTGCAGTACTTAATATAATAATACGCGTCGTACCTTTTCTCCATCGCTGAGATTAAGGAATCGTTGTTTCTCATTTTCTTCTCGTTTCTTCAGTTCAAATTCTTTCCTCTTAACTTTCTCCTTGAAACGTTTTAATTTCCGTTGCTGTCTTTTTTTCTCCGCCTCCTCTTGCTGTATCTCGTCGGAGAGCGGTCCAGGAATTTGAGACTAAAATGCAAATAAGGTAGAAAAAAGAATTTTTCGTAGATGTATTAATGCATGTGTTGTACCGTAAATAATACCTTTTGATAATTGAACTTGTTCGGATTATCTTTCATAAATCTTCTAAACGTATTTCTTGTCTCTTTATCGTTCGTTGCAGCATAAGGTGTCTGCAATTTTTTATTCTTATTGCAAGGATTAGATCCGATTTCCATGAGCAGCCTAAGAACAAATTAGAACTGCGTAAAGTCCCGTGAAAATAACGCTTTCGTCCAAAATTTAATATTGCAATATATGCCCATTCATTGACAAATGAAATACGCACCATACTTGCTCGGAGTGTCCGCTGAGTGCCGCCAAATGCAACATCGTATTACCATCTTCATTGGTATCGTTAACTAGTTTCGCCACGTCATTTGTATTTACTAGAATATTACTGGATGCGGCGGAATTTAATGCGTCTTCCTTATTGCTCTCTTTCTCGCATTCTTTAACTTTCGCTAATAAGTCATTGATGACTGATGACAGAAAATCATAATCGCCCCGTTTACATGCAGCCCACAACTTTGTTTTAGCATCCAACAACACTTCATTGACTATCTGGGCTAAATAATACAAGATATTTTAAAAAAAATAATAAACAGTAAAATATGTATTAATGGAACATTTCTTTCTCTAGAATTTTCTTTTAATTTTTAGCAAGCACACATTCTTTTCTACTTTATGTTATTTAAATCGTGAATTTTTCTGTGCTCTAGAATTATTGCAACAGGTTTCAAAAAGTCACAAATTAATTCGGATACGAATTAACTATTAAACAAACAGAACTCACCATCTTTCTTCACTCTTTTCTTCTGCCGGTGAGCTTTTTTGTTTTTTAAATATCTTGGCACAGTATCCTGAAAAGCTAGTAAATTCTCAGCAAAGTCTACCTCAAAATCTTGTTCAATTAAAGGAACATTCAAGGGATTGGTTCTCGAATCCAATTCCGATTCAGAGGACGATTGAGCTAATCTAAGGATGATATCTGCAAAATAGAAATAAACAACTATAAATGATATTTTTTTTAAACAATAAGCACAACACTTATGTTACATCAAACAAATAAAACATTTTAAAATTTATCACTCGTGTTTTACAGTAGTAATGTATACCTGGCAGTGGGCGATTTGGACTTTTCCTGGGCTTCGCTCTGTCTATGTGTGGACGGGGATTCCGATGTTGCTTCTCCGGGGTGGACTGCGCAGGTGCTTTAAACTTGTCGTTCTCTTGAGAAATATTAGTTCTACCATCATTAAACTCAGTGCCGACAGGCACTCCCTCGGGTATCTCGCTCATCACCTCAGTTTTCGAGACTTTCTTGCGCATAGGCTGTCGCGGAGAGTTAGGAAAACAGTCTGTGAAATCTGCCGCAGAACCTAAAAATACATCGTCAGAGAGTGAGTTGATATATAAAGTGATGAAATTTTGATGGGAATAAAACTGTTTACCATAAATCTCCATGGTGCTCACTATATCATATACTCTCTGGATTTCCCTGAACGTGGCTCTGCGCGTAGGAAATGGCAGTGGTCTTATTCGAAAATCGTTCTTGTCCAGAGGAGGATTCTTGCCGCCGAAAAGCACCGTGCGATTGTACGGCCCGACCGCTCGGTACAGAATGACCGACGAATTATTGATATGTGTCGACCATGACTCCAACAACTCTTGCACATGCTGAAATAACAGGTGGAATTATTCACATTTGGCCAATTAATTTAATATTACTCATACAAATTTATCGAACAAGTCCTTAATTTATTAATTTCTATGAATTGTACAAATAATTACAAGCATACCTGAATAAGTGACGCTTCGTTGTACCTTCGCAAGCTGGCCCCCGCGCTTTTAGCGTGATTACCGTTCGGGCGTGAGCTCTGAGCGAAACCTTGCTTCGCTCGTACGGTGTAAGAATGGAAGGTTTTGTGCACGACAGCCTCGCCATCTGCAAATATCAGAGCAAACAATTATACAATTATACTTGCAAATTATTTTTAAATACAGAAATGCCAAACGTCTTAGTTATGGCATTGTCTTATATTTTGAATGATATTTTTGTAATTATAAATATATTTTAAAAGATAAAGTTATTGAAAAAAAGCAACAGCTTTATTAGAATATAAATCTACAAGCAAAATAATTTCTATAATATTTAAAGTTTTGTTGAAACAACAAATCTGTTTCTAACATTCAGTTATTTATTTTGTTTACGTCCCGCATTCTAAAAATAGAAACGTGGCAGTCTTAGTAATATAAGATGCGTACTTTGAAAGACAGCTGCGGCGAAGTGTCCACCGCCGACCATGATTACCGTCCACTTGCTCTTTTTTCCGCTGTCCAACGCCTGAACGATCATCTCGCTGTCTTTTTCGGGAATATCCTAAAACGTAATTACACATCTCCCGATCTAGTAAGTACAGAGCCTGCCAAGCGCACGCTCTGACAAAGTAGATCAAGTTTCAAGACAATATTTCGCGTACCATGTATACGGAAAGCACAACCATAATAATTTATAGGTCTCTACGCGCCGTTAATTAACAGTAATTTAATTAATGACGACGGACCTTTTTATGATGTAGCAGGCATCGATAGATGCTGAATATGTTGCCGTCGTCGTTCTCGAAGAACACTTTTGTGTGACGACTTGCAACGGCCTGCAGCTTCCGCTCCTTGGACATTTCGTCGTTGTACTCCGTGTCCGAAATGTCCGACTCGATTGCCCTCCCGCGTCTTTCCGACGTCTTTCGAGATTTGCCAAGAGCGGTGGAACTGCTCTTACTCGACGGCTCGTTCTTGGTCTGCTCGTTGGACGAGGTCCCAGTCTCCGAAGTACCAGCGTCATCTTCGTTCTCGGATTCTACCTCGCTACCGGACAGGCTAGACATGTCGCCTATAAAATTCCCACATGTCTGCTTGTATCGTTGTAAAATTTGTACCACTGCCGTGTACTTCATCTCAGACTGTACCTTCGCCGGCTAATCTATTAAAATTGTCCTCGTTGATCGATTTCAAACCGTTTAGATGTTGCTTGAGATTGTAACGATGCCAATCCAGCTTGTAGTGGAGTCTCTGTTGCGTCTTGTCCTCGAATTCAGTGTTACAATAAGAGCAGCACAAGGAGTCGGACACCACCAGTTCACATAGTACTTGCTCGTTGTCCGGCACTGCAAAACGGAAACCATGTAAAATGTTGCCAAATTGTTGTCCTTCAATTTCCTCATACATATATGAATCAATAAAAAAATAAGAAACATTCTTACACATCTTCTGCAGATAAATTTATCAAATGATAATGGATATGCCAATGAGATTAATTAAGCTTTATCATTATATATGCAAAAGGAGATATCATTAACTTCCTACTGATTATCAAATCACGTATAGAGATATGAAAGCAATCTCTGCATTTCATGGTAGAAAATAATCTTTTAATATGCACTTTTATATTAATATAACTATAGATTGCATAATTAATATAAAAAATAATTCTCTTATTACAGCAACATGTTATATGATTATTCTTAAAATATCCCTGTAACAAAAGAATCAACATGAAGTTAAACTTCGAGATAAGACAAACAGATATGTCACACTTCCATGTGCATGTCACTTGCTTTACCCCAAACACAAGCAAATTAATTTGTCGACCCCTTTCCAAGATGTCAACAAAACATTTTATATTCTGATAAGCATGATTATTTTTTTCCTGCTTCGTTGAAGAATATAGCAGTTTACTCAATGTCTTCCATGCTCCTCGATTGCTTTGTTTAGATCTACATCTCCTCTCTCTCTCTCTGCTCTGTTTTCCTTCTTCTACATCCAAAGCTTGAATATGCCATCTAATTGTTCCATTTTAAATGCAAAAGATGTAAGAGCAGTTGTATGGGGTTAGCAATCTAACCACACAGCAGAAATTAAAAATATATTGCATGAAGATATAAATCAAATAAACATAAATTATTTAGCATGAAAAAGATGTCGACGTGTCGCGGAAACTTCAGCAGCACGTGCTTACCGTAGGACGACGGCGATTGCATGCATCGCGCAACCTTGATCCCCTTAGTGATCCGGTCGAAATCGTCCTGATTGTGTATTTTGTAGATTTGTTGGTCCATAGCTTTCGTAGACGCTTGACAGCTTGGATTAGTCTCGTTCATCGTAGATCTCGCGAGTTGACCAAAAGACGGCGAGAAGGACGCGGAAGTGGAAAAAACGGACAATGCGCTCAAAAGTAGCGAAAATTTGCACGGCGATACCGTACTGACCGTTTCGTCACTTTGCACATTTCACGCAACTCTTTCGCGCCGTGGTGTGATTACGTCATTCGCACGTATTACCATGCGCAAACACGTCATCGTCGAGCGGGATATTTGAATGGAACGGAAACATGGGAGTATTCTAAAACTCAAAATGTCACTGTAATTCATATTCTCTGATTAATTTGGAGTCAATTTTCTTTCAACAAAAATATCGAGACATCGATAATTTAATGCATTATAATGAATCGAAAAAGAACTTTATTCTAAGTTTCAAACATTAATTTCAAGTAGAGTTTAATAAAAGTTTAAATTAAAGCTTAATTTAAAAGAAACTTTGAAAATTAGAAGTATAATAAATAAGGACCTTTCTCAACATTTTTGTTAAAACAAATTGATTTTAAATTAATGAGTCTTAAAAAGTAAAATTTTGAGATATCTTATATACTACATATTATCAAAACAAGATATTAGTCAAACGTTTATTAAACAGAATTATTATTTCACAGGCGTTTACAGGAATCTTGTGCAAAGAAACGCTATATATATGTACAGTGATATCAACGATAAGGCATGCCTTACATGATAAAACGAATACTCTTAATCTTATCAATATTAGTTTAAAAAATAAAGCATTTCTTAGTATATTGAATAATACTTATGATAGCTGGAAAAGATAAAGCTTATTATGCAAGAAATAGCCTTTTCTACTTTTGACACTAATACTTTTTCGTTTAAATATAACTATTATTTCCGCTGCTAAAGTAATTTTTAAATAACTTTGCAATTTCGAAGCTGTGATAGGCCATTTATAATATTATACAAAAATTTATATTAAATTAAATTTAAATTATATATTATATAAATATTGTATAAGACGCCTAAGTAATACAATTTTCGCTTCACAGGTTGCAATATTTTTTGTGACATGTTCTTGGCATATTGTAGCCGTCTCTTTAATGAGGAATTTCAACCGTATTTAAAAACATGACATAGATTCGGAACAATGCATTAAAAATATTAAATGTAACGTTACCTTTTAAACAATATTGTTCTGTGTTCTGTTAAAGCACCTGATATCCTGCATGCAAAATAAAGTTGTATTTTGCAATACTTATTCTAGCTTATTAATATATATCATTTTATCGAATAATATCAATCAGTCTTAAATAGTGCAGCAATAGATAGCCGCTTAAAATTTTGAAAATATGGAACAATGGACATTTTGTACTCTGACATTTTTGGATGTTGTGCATCATCCAACCGCACCGGTTCAACACCTTTTGTACAAAGTTAATATGATTAGTAGTATATGAAATTAGAGTTACATTTTTTATAAATATTTAATAATATATCTTATTTTGAAGTTTGCTGCATTTCAGAAATATTTATGCGCTATTTATCTTTGATTCGTCCAAAGATGGAACTATATCAAACTAAAACCAAAGGGTTATTCCCTTTATTTTGGAAGCTCGAGAACTTTTAATGTCCTCAAAATGAAACAGAAAGCGTTTACGAAAACAACTATTTACGGTAATATATTAAATATATTGCACAAAATGTTGCAATATATTAAAAAACAAAAAAAAAAACTACAAAATACTAAGATGCCCTGTCTATCACTGGTAGTTTTCTACAATTTCTCACATACCGTATACGACAGTTAACCATAAATAAACACAGTGTCATCAATAATGCGATGTGATAAATAAATCAAATAAATAATATCAGGTAAATTAAATAAAAAAAAAAATAGAGATCTGATAATATCACCACAAAATTAGAGGCACATGTAGATGAATAATAATAGCCCGTTTAACGCACCAACTAAATAGTTCAGCTGTATCCTTGATCCCTCATGTCTCCTAAAATATACATGATATTAGAAAATGTAATTATGATATGCATTATAACTTGTCAAATACAAATTAATAATCACTTCAGTAAGCATTCATTAATTGCAAGCTGAAACTTACCTCTGTCTGGAAGGACTGAATGGAAATGGTGGATTGATACCAGGTTCACTGCTGTCCTTGTAAAGGATGAACCAACTGAAACTCGTTAACACGAGTCCATTCATCATCGCTTTTAACAGCCAGTCGTACTTTCCGTAAACTGTGACAAGTGCATTAGCAGCTGCCTCTGCGTATAAATTACTGGCGTTGAAAAACTTTTCGCTATCGACTGGTATTTGTTTCATATCAAATTGCGATAAAGCAGATACACTTGGCATTGTACTGTACAGTGCAGTGAACCTCGTAACTGACGGCAGAGAGTACTGATCATTGTTTTGCCATGACAGCTTTCCTAAAACGGCAAAGTACAAGAAACTCATCATCAGCCAGTATTAATCTTCAGTTATAGCCTCTCATAGAATACATTTGTTCGTGAAAATGAAAAAAAAAGATAACACTTATTTTAGATAAAACATAAATAAATATCTAGCAACTTAAAACATATATTTGTAATTATGGATTTGATTAATGATAATAACAACTGAGCTTGTATGACACATCACTAATTAAGCAAAATTTTTTTACTTCACCATTTAAGGAATAATATAGATACAAAGTATTTTCGAATAATTAAACAAATCAAATAAGAAAAAAAGGCGAATAAATCAATGCTATTGAGTGAACGCGATTAAAAATCGTTGACTCTCTCTCTCTCTCTCTCTTTCTTAATTAAAAAGCTATTTTATTTTAATAAAATAAAGAAATAATAAAAGAAATAAAAACAATTAAAATTTTAGTTTTTTTTAATTCTATTCCGCTTTACTCCCTCGGTTTGTTGTGACAGTTGCGATAATACTTTTCGAGTAGTGGACGCGACCTTGATAAATTCGGTCATGGGCGACGCAAGTCTTATGTACATGAAAACGTGTGTGGAAATTCGAGGAAAGAAGGGATCGCGGATGACTCGCGTTACGAAGATGTTCTTGATTCTCGTATGCGCAAATAGGCCATGTATAAAAATATAACTCGTGATATACGCACTGCGTGCATTTTCACGCAACACGTAGACGGTGGATACGATATAAAAAAAAATAATGACTAGTCTGTAACGTTTTATTGCGCAGTGTGCAATATTAAGTTGTTATGCAGAATGAAGTTTACAAAATTGTTAATCTTTGGATGATACAGTATGTTGACTTATTTATTAAGAACAATAACAGAAAACATTCAAGTTTCAGACATTGATCCACAGCAGCAGAATATGTAAAATTAATATAAACAAATTTATGACAGCATATTTGCAAGTTCTGTTAAGTTTTTGTTTTATAAGAAGCATTAATGGTTAAATATTAATGAAAATGCAAACTTATTCATAATAAATAACAATGAGAAACAAAGAATACATAATTTAAAATTAATTGATAAATTAACATAAAGACATATTAGATCTGTTACTTTCAGCTATACATTTCTATTTCATTCCTATGCCAACAAAAGTATTATACATTCATATTTGGAAGACAGAAAGAAGAAAGCGTAACACTGAAAGAACATATCTAACAATACAAAGGTAGAAAGTGCAATGAAAGTATAATAAACTAAAAATATATACACTTTAGATTATTAAACCTATTTTTTCTTTTCTTTTTACATAATTAAATAAAAAATTGTACTCGAGGAATTTCTTAAAGACGGCCGACAAAATATACATTTTTCTTTAGCATAATTTGTATCGTGGGCTATTTCGCTTCCAGGGGAACCAAAACAAAAACTGCGCGTCTGATAGATCAACCCCGAAGATAAATCCTATCGATATCGTTCACGCGATAACGATTCTCCTTGTGGAAACGAATCAGATTGCTGGGAACATCCCTTTCAACAAAACCAAAATAAAGATCGTGCATTTAATAATCTAACCTCAATGCGTGTGAATCACTCGCGAGATAACCTCTTTGACAGCAGAAATAAACCAAGCGCGAATTGAGTTATTTACTTACCGTAATTCGTGAACAATTTGCCCAGGACGATGGAGAATGAAAATACCAAAAGCGACAAGCTGAACGTCCATTCGTTCATGTGTATTTTCCTCCAAAATCTCGCCGGTGCACTCTTTCGGTCCTCCTCGGCGAGTCTGCCGTTACCGTTCATCAACGGCACCGAATCGCTCTTTTGCTCCATCGTCGTCTGCATCGACATCGTTCGTCGCTGAGAACACACACCTCATACGCCAGCGCGGCACAGCGCGTCGAGTGACAAGTCGTTCTTAAGCCGTGTCGCTTCCAAAAATAAAGGTGAATAAGCGCGGGCGGACGTGTTCACGACTCACATATGCTTGACGACGACGCGCATGCGCACAACCGATATTCTTCCTATTCTATTTTTTTTCAGAAGTGTACGTACTGAAGTTGTGTTCACTGTAAAATTGATTATGTGTTACTTTTTATAATTATTGTTGTAAATATTATTTTCAACTATTATCATTCAACGACATTCCACTCAACATTCCGCTATTGTGCAGCACCACGCGCACCGTCATCGATCAACGAGAAGCGAGGGGGGGAAGAACTGAAAGGGCTGAAGATGACCGCATTCGCCGCCACTCGTTCGGTTCGAAAATTACTGCGGCGTCAGTGCGCGCGAGTCGGTCGCGCGTGGTGGTTGGTAACGTGATTGTGGTGATCGGCCGGTGAACGTGAGCGTCGTGTGCGTGCCGCATAAGCAAGGAGAGAACGATGGCGAGCCACGACGGTGTTGGCATCGGTGACTTTGTACTGCTGGATGAGATCACTGTCGATCGCGCGGTGGAGAACCTTAAAACAAGGTACGCAAATCGTCGAGGTTGTCTGAGAATTCGATTCTCGAAATTCGCGACAGAATCGCGGACGCCGCTGACAGCCGGAGGACGGCGGGGAGCGTCCCGCGCACGCACGCATCACCGCGCGGTTCATCGCTGCGTCCGCGAGAAGGCGTGGCCTGCGCGTCAGCAGGTGGTCGCGTAGAGATAGTAAAAGGTCTAAATACCTTTCTGCGCCTTATCACCTTTAAAATTGGAGAAAGGATAATTGGCGTGATATCGATGTAACAATACTGATCGTACCATTTAACCGACTTTTTGTCCCTTTCGAGGAATGAGGACGAAAACAAATAGAGAATGACACTCCAGGTAACTTTAACCTGATTCGCGGTTCAGCAAAGATTAAAACAATATATTTGCTAATTGTAATCGTACTTCGACTGTTGCTAAGGAATGTCAAATATGTCAAGTCTGTACTCAATATAAGAACGTAAAAAAAAAGGAATAAACGCGCATAGATAAATGTGTTGTATAAAATGCGGAATGACTTCATACGTACATACGTACACAGAGAGAAAGAGATAAGAGTAGAGTGCAGTAATATCTTCGTTACTTTCGTTTTTCTATTTTTCTTTCAAACATCTAAAAAACATTATATTCCGATTATGAATAACGTATTTTGAACTTGACCCGCTGACGACGATGACGATGTCCGAGGAGACGTCGAGGCCGTTTCCACCGGCCAGCCTTGGTCGGTTAATTCTGGTCAACGATAGTCTGCCTATCTTTTTGTGAGGGTCAACTATACATGTCTTTTTTCAGCTAATACTGCTAAGAATACGACGAAGTGTTTATATCTTCACATATTTTATTTTTAGAGGATTAAAAATAAAGGAAATATATTTCTCTTTCCACAAAAATGTAAAAAAGTGCAGCCAGATTAACTCTGAAAATCTTGCAAGTTTGACTTTTTTATTAATAGAATTCTGAAACAAATAATTTGAGTGCTACAATCGAAAAAATTTCAATCTAGTTTAATGTTTTACAGCTTATTTCATAAAATTATCGTTGTTTAGAAAAATGAATCAGAAATCATTTTTATTTTTTAGACTTTCATTTTCATGTAATGTGATTTAGCTAATTAACTCAATGTAACTTTTTCGTATATTACAGATGAGACTGTAATCTAGAAATAGACGGTAAATATCGAGTTGCAATAAGCAATGTTTGCAATTGGATTCTAGAAGACAGCGAAAGGTGCGATTGCACCAACACTAATTGATGTTAATCATAGTTAATTCTTCTTCTTTGTGTCTTCATAGACGTAATTACAATCTAACATAAAAACAATTGAGTCCAAATAGATCCAAGATTAACGCAGATAATCGAGATCATCGGCGTAAAATCAGCTCAAAACGTCACAGACAGTCCTAACGCACAAACTAATTTTTTGCAACAATAATCGTAAGCGAATTTCCAAATTTTATTCAATCGTCTCATTCTCTATATCTCGTAAACAAACTTTTATTTTATCTTTCTATTTAATGGCCTGAATCGTTTTCAAAAATAAATAGCAACTCAATGGTCTATTTAGATAAATGCGTACAAAGTTACAAAATAATTACAATTCTACATCACAAAACGAGACTCGTTTGATTCATTTGACTGCATAGTTTGTATTGTGGATTGGAATATCACATTGCGAGTAAAAGACGGAAGCAACGAGACCTGTTGCGTGGTTACATGAGCGCAATACGTACATGAGCGTATCGTTTTAGCGGTAAAGAACGCACGTACTCACGCGTACTCACGCGTACTCACAATGCATTGTGGGATATCACACGCACAAAAACCGGAGACAAAGTAATAAAATAATTAAGGGCAACACAGAGATAATTTCGCGAGATAATGTAAGATAATCATAATTAAAGACAAAAGACATTCTTGTTAGAACTGTGTAATAAATGTCATTAATAATCTTTTAATCTATAAGGTAGGAAAATTTTTATTTTGTTTTACAATTGCGAAAATTTACAATATCTGATAAATCACGGATATTGTTTATTTAATAATTTACTAGGAAAATTAAGCTACTAAAGCCGAAGCTAGGTGATGTTGCTCAACAATTCATTTTATTTCCAAACAATTTCAGAAATGTTTCGACCTATTCATTTTATTAATGTTTATTTAATGTTCACGAATATAATTTTATAAGAGAATTGCAAAATAATTTTGCAATGCGCTAAAAGAAGCTGTATTTTTCCAATATTTGGTAAAATATCTGCGATAAATTGGAATATTTTTCATTCTATTGTAGCACTTGAAGGTAATAACGATATACACGCATGACGCATTTCTTGGAAAGGCATTATTCATGAGTAAAGATGAATGACGTGCTCTGATTCATCATGTGCAATGAAAACTTCAGACGTATCACGCGAAATCTTGGATATCATTAAATTAAATCAAATTAAACACTGGGGGATCGATTAATTGGGTAAAAAATATCTAATTGGATAAGTATCCAATTAGGAATCAATCGATTAGGTAAAGATATCCGATTAAAATAGATATAGAACCAATTAACAAGATTAAAAATTAAATTAATTAAAAATAGTTACGTAACAATATCCAGAACAACATAAAGTCTTTAATTTTGAAAGATGGATTAAAAGTTTAAATTTAGAGATCGAAATATCTAATTGATATATTTAAATTTTTATCTATAGACAGTTTTCAAGCGTAAAACGCGAGAGTTAATCATTTAAGGAAGTTACTTGCATTATTTTGCTTATTGCAGTGTCATATTATTAAGTAATTTGGGTAGAAAGTACTTCCTGTCGGAATGAGCTTATCAATTTTGTCTTTGTCGCAAATTTATGTATAATAATATATATCTATATATTATTTTTTATGAACGACTCGGATGCTTTATTAGCTCATTTCAGAACTTGATATCAAACGAGTTTGCTTGACGTTTATTCTTTATGCTTCAACAAAGTCGTTAACTCTATCTCAAGTAATTAAACGACTCTGCAATGTTCATAAAAAAGGGACAATGAAATAAATTGAGTGATATACGAGATAAAGATCTTGTGACTGTTTAGCGTTAAATGTAATCATACGATAGCGAACTAAGCTTTCTAAAAAATTTCACTTATTTTTGAGAACAAGAATAATGTTGATAAAAACATTTAGTTTAAAACTATTTTCTTGTAGCAATTTTAATAATTTCTTAAGAAAAAGAAAAATCTAAAAAATTAGAAGCCAAAATAAATTGTAATATGACAAAATTATGAGTTGTAACATAAATTATAAAACTCTAATATATAGGTCGAGCTTTTATTTTTACCGGCTTATGCCACTATTTCGGCCAACGACTCATAATATCGCTTCCGACGCCAACGCGAGAGCCAAGCAGGCACGTTTAGCGGTAAAAGTGTGCTGAGAATACGAGCGTTCCAAGACTATCCTAGGATACACGCGATGAATATACATGCGACTCGCGTAATCTTTATCAGAACGTGTGTCGGCGATGAGTCATCATTGTCCTCAAGTATTGAATACTTTTCGGTTTGTGCTCACGTCATTACGTGAGAGTTTGACACGCACACGGCATGATATAATAATTACGATATAATAGTTACGATGTAACAATTATTATGCACTGCGCGCGTATGCTGAAAGTGAAAATAAATATATATAATATAATATAAAGTAAAATTGGAGAGTAAAAAAGTGTAGGAGAAGAAATCAAAAAGTAACAGAATTTAAATATCCTTGTCATTCATTTAGAAACTACGAAGATAACCTCCTTTCATTAATGCTAAATATACGATTAATTTAAGTAATACTTATTTACATTACTGTTTTTTTTTTACTTTCTCGAAATTTCACTTTTGTTAAATTTATTTAAAAATTTTAAAGTGTGAAAATTTTTTTCTGTATCGAATATATAGCTGACTTTAATTTTATTAGGAATGTAATCACTTGCATTAACGAACGTTCAATTGTCCTCAAAGTAAGTAAGGACAAGTGACTCATTATACTTCTGTAATCTTTCAACTTCGATGTATTCGTTTCAGGGACGATAAATCTTATCTTTCGTTGCCGCCTGCACAAACTGTCAATTTATAATTTCCACAAAACTATTATGATTAAATTTTTAATCCAAAGAAAATCTTTCAGTAAATCATACAGCTTGCACATATAAGATGCAAGACTATTCGCATTCCCGCAGATTATTACAAGGTTTCGTTTAAATTTGCTTGCGGAAATTGATTTCGATAAAAATAAAATGTGCGATCTATCTTCTCTTTATTTTGTATCTCCCGTTTGTATTCTGTTACAGATTCAACGGAGGGAAGATTTATACGTACATCGGCGAAGTGTGCGTGAGCGTGAATCCTTACAGAACCACCAATATTTACGATGAAAGCCACATTGTTAAATACAAAGGTATTATCGAATTAATCTGCAAAAAAATATATTTTAAAATAAACATTTGATTTCTATCAAGATACGATTAGTTCAGAATGTCTGGCGTGTAATTTCTGTAATCTTAAATTTTCTCATTTAAAAAAAAAATTGCTTTCAGATAGAGAACTGTTCGAAAATCCACCGCACATCTTCGCGATTGCGGACGCGGTGCATAAAGAGATGAAGCAGCAGGGAAGAGACACCTGTATAGTGATAAGCGGCGAGTCGGGCTCCGGTAAAACGGAGGCTAGCAAAATTATTATGAAGTATATCGCTGCTGTAACCAATCTGAGCGGCCAGCAAGAGATCGAGAGGTATAAATTGTGACTTGGAGGCGAATTGTAATTACTATCAGTTTGCGCTATCTAATCTATCTGGTTAGAGCGATAAGATTGAATCTGCAGTCAATACATTTTTTAAGAACGATAGATTATTTAATTACGTAACGTTTAATGTAAACAGCACAATTCCATCGAGTGTTAAAAATATTTTTGTTAGCATAATTGAAGCGACTAATGAAATGATTGCGTCTTCTTTCAGAGTGAAGAATATCCTCATTCAATCAAACTCGATATTGGAGGCGTTCGGCAATGCCAAGACGAACAGGAACGACAACTCGTCACGATTCGGAAAGTACATGGATATTAATTTCGATTTCAAAGGCGATCCCGTCGGTGGCCACGTGACCAATTATCTCCTCGAGAAATCGCGGGTGGTCTATCAGCAAAAGGGAGAACGCAATTTTCACTGCTTCTATCAGGTACCGTTTGCTCGTACCAGCTCGATAATTTCTTGTGCACTTTCTGTCGCTTGATTAGAATCTCAAAATACAAATCCGTTGTGTCGAATATACGAAAACGCTCAATTTTCAGTTGCTAAGTGGCTGCAACGAAGTCGAACTGAACAAACTACGTCTAGTCCGCGACCCGGCCGCTTATTACTTCATCGGCAACAGCAAAATAACCAGCTCCGACAGAGGCGATTATAAAGCCATTTGCACCGCCATGTCCAGCCTTGGATTCTCCCCAAACGAAGTGCAGACCATATGGAATATCGTCGCTGGTGTTCTGCATTTGGTGGGTAATTAACATGAAACTGCGCTATGACAAAACTAGAACATTTATCAAACACATGAGCGCTTTTTATAATCTTTCCGAAGATGATGCTGGTTTTGCTTAGTGGTTTTTAAAAATTATTTTTCAGGGCAATGTCACCTTCCGATTGGACGACGACAAGCTTTTAATTGAAAATAACAGTGCTTTAAACGACACCGCCAATTTGCTCTCGATTAGCCCGAAAGAACTGAGCACCGCCCTTTCGCAGAGGGTCATAGCGGCGGGTGGAGAAGTCATGCAGAAGACTCATAATTTGATAGAAGCCGAGTATGGCCGAGACGCTTTGGCGAAGGTGCGTCCACTGGACTGGAATTTATTTCTTTTATTACGGAATTTTTCCACAATTGATTGTGCAGTAAAAAAATATTATGAATTTTTCAGGCTGTATATGAGCGATTGTTCACGTGGATAGTATCGCGCGTCAACGGTTCTATCAACGTAAACGACAGCGACAGGGTGAAGAGATACGGCACGTTGATTGGCGTGCTGGACATTTATGGCTTCGAGATTTTCGACATGAACAGCTTTGAACAGTTTTGCATCAACTATTGTAATGAAAAGTTGCAACAGCTTTTTATCGGTAGGCATAGCGCAAAATAAATATGCGAGCGAAACGTTGGATTCAGAATTGTTTTATGATTGTCATATTTTATCGCAGAGTTGGTTCTGAAACAAGAGCAAGAGGAATATCAGAAGGAAGGGATAGCTTGGCAAAACATTGAATATTTCAACAATCAGATTATCTGCGACTTGGTTGAACAAACTCACAAGGGAATGATAGCGATCATGGACGAAGCTTGCCTCAACGTTGGCAAAGTTACCGATGAGGTAATCAAATTTCCATTAAATAAAAAAAATAAATTTTGAAAATAGTAAAAAGAAGAAAATACCTCTTTCTAGATGCTCCTCGACGCGATGGATAAGAAATTGGCGGGCCATAGACACTACACCTCTCGACAATTAAAACCTATGGATAAAGAGCTGCAGCATAGAACGGAGTTCAAAATCAAGCATTATGCCGGCGACGTGATTTATAATATTAACGGCTTCCTCGACAAGAACAAAGACACGCTCTTCCAAGACTTCAAACGGCTGCTCTATAAAAGCAATAATTCAATAATTAGTGAAATGTGGCCTGAGGGCGCGCAGAATATTTTGAAGGTGCGAAACTAGCGCATAAACATAATATATTCATTTTAATATTTTTAATGCTACGTGTAGTTATGCGGTTTTAATTATCTAATTTGAAAATCAATCCGTTGTATTAAATATTTTTAGACGACAAAGAGGCCTTTAACCGCTGGCACGATGTTCCGCAATTCTATGATCGCGCTGGTGAAAAATCTAACAAGTAAAGAACCGTTTTATGTCAGATGCATAAAACCCAACGAAGTGAAATCTCCTGTCGTGTTCGATAACGAGAGGGTGAATCATCAAGTGAGATACTTGGGACTCGTGGAGAACATATTGGTGAGACGAGCTGGTTTTGTGTACAGACAACGATACGACAGATTCTTGAAAAGGTATTTTAAATGTAAAAATATAGAAAATATAATAGGCAAGAAAATTCAAATGTTTAAAATTTGCCAATTAATTTTCCAGCCATCAAATAATGTGTTAAATATTTTCTAAACTGCAGCGCACAATTAATTATGTTATAAAAGTAACGAATAAATTTTTTTGTCTTTATCAGGTACAAAATGATATCTCAGTACACGTGGCCAAACTTCCGAGGCACTAATGAGAAGGATGGAGTGCGCACATTAATGGATGAGAAAGGTTTTTCTAACGACGTTAAGTACGGTCACACGAAGATATTCATTCGCTCGCCGCAAACTCTATTTGCGTTGGAAAAGGTTAAATATCTAAGTGACTTAATCTAGCATTCGAATTGGATGCTGGTTGATCTAAATATGTTACACGATAATTATTTCGCTCGCAGGCTCGCAGTGATCTGATACCGGGCATCGTGATTCTCTTGCAAAAGCAGTGGCGAGGATATCTCTGCCGTCAAAGGTACAAGAAGATGAGAGCCGCGCTGGTTCTAATGTATTACTACAGAAGATACAAACAGCGCGCTTACATCAATGAACTCGCGCGGATTTTCAAGAACGCCAAGAACATGCGGGATTACGGCAAACATTTAGCATGGCCGCGTGAAAATTTCGCCGTGAGATACGTGGTCCCTGCCTTGAAGAACATGTATGCGAGATGGTGGGCGTGGATGGTGCTTCGCGTGATTCCTCGCGAGGACTGGCCACAGCTTCGATTAAAGGCGAGTCTCTTCAGCAATTTTTTTGCGAACTTTATTAATTAAAAACGATGGAATAGCAGGAGGATCTCAAGCCAAAGAAGATTGTAATTCTTGATACTTTTTATTGAAACCAATGTTTTAATTAAGCAGCATACGTTTCGGCTGATCTTACAAACTGTTTCTTAGAAGACCGTAAATTTAATTCGTCA